TGTTCTGCTGAATAAAACATTACTTTTCACTGATGGACGGTCTACTTTTGTTGGTATCTTCCAGTTTAGAGTTTTCAGTCATAGTCTATCTCTCTCCCTCTACCTCCCCCCATCATAAAGCTTACCATCTTGTTCTATGCATAGGAAAAGTATAATATACATGATCAAGGATCATTCAAGCAGTACAGTTATGTATTAACATCTACATTCTGAAACAAATATTACTAAAACCTATTCTTGGTGCTCTGGCCTCTTTTGTCTTGATGTTGTAGTTCTTGAGCAACAAAGAAGCAAAAGTCAGAAAGAGTCCAATGCCACGTATAGACTATATTTTCACTGTCCACCCTTGATGCTTGTTAGCAGTGCCCTCATAAGTGTCAGTAGTTACTTTCTTGAATTTCCAGCTCTGCATGTGGTGGCCCATGAAGGTTTTCTATAAGCAGCAACAGTCTAACTGGGCCTGTTTTCTGCTTGCTGCTTCTTTTCCATTGCACGTGGAAATGTTACATTTTCATTCATCTGTGGCTCAGGTCAACTTTTTCTCATGGAGACTGGCAGAGCAGATTCAGATTAATTCTGGCTGGATGTGTGTTCTGCAAATCCATAAGAAATCACTCTTACATCATCCTACCTAATGGCTTTACATACAGTCGGCAAAAAGGTGTCCCTCTTGCTTTTTAATAAACTGGCTTATATGTTCAGTTTGCAAGCCATAAAGCACACACGTTTTTGGCCTATTTCTTAGTCTCTCATTGGCCATTAGAAAGCTTTTATTGTATTGACCACTTTTTCCAGAAATGTTCAGCTGCTGTTGACATAGTGACACAGTTTTTTCTGATATTCACAGCACTACAAAGTGAGATAATGGCCCCTTCAATCTGCTTATTCTGTCAGGGAGGTTCTTCGCAGTTCAAATCTTAAGAACCAGGTTGCATTTCTTTGCAACTGACTAGCTCTCAGAAGGGAAGGGAAACAATATGTTATGATCTAGAACAGTTGATTCCAACCCTTTTGCATGTATGGAAGAAATCCTTTGATTTTAGGGCAACCTTTTTCTTTTGATAGATTTGGGTTAGATGAGAAAGATTTACCACCTCCTGCTGGGCTGCTATGGGGTAGCCTCATGTGGGTGGCTTACACAGTTGTAAACTAGTTTCTGCCAGGAATTGTGATAACAGCAAGATTGGGGTTTCTAGAAAACTTGGCACAATTCCACTCCCCACTCCTAAGCTCGGAATCACTAAATAAACAAATTACTGTAATGAATTAAAAATGCTAATCATAAATCAAATATCTAGGAGGCCATTCTTGCTCCCCCTCCCTAGAGGAACAATTCACTCACCTGATAAATGTAGAAATTGTTTTCCAAATATTCAGAGTTCTAACTAGCATGCTCCAAGGCTAACCTCTGTTTGAATAGATCAATGCTACAGGAGTGACAGAATTGAGACAATTAGTACCAGTGCTATAAAAATGAGAGAAAATTGAGACTGAAGCTAGAAAAATCCTTTCTGTAGTTCAGAAATTGTAAGTCCTGGGGAATAGTAAGTCTGGTTAACTGAAAGCATTCCAAATGTTCATCAAAACATTTACTTCAATCTGTCCTGGTGCAAATTGATACTGATGCTAAAACTGAGGTTTCCAATGTGGGACCCATAGCACTTTCTTTGAACTTAGCAATTAATGGTTCCTGTTGCACTTGGCTTAAAGAAATATGAGAAGGGAAAGGAAGTTGACATTTGGCAAAGTAAAGCACCATCCTACAGTACTGGCTTTAATTCTAAGCATGCTCAAAGCATTACCTGGGCCCCGTAGGCCTTTTTCCCCGCCCTCACCCCCAAAAACCACAGGGCTAGAGACAATTCTAAAAACAAGGGTGAATCACAGTGGAGTGGAAACGCTCAACTTACTGGGATGGTCCAGTAGAAGACTGTGATATGCCAAGTGGAATTACAACCCTGTGCAATGAGAACAAGAGCAACGAAAGTGTACCTTTTTAGTCCCTGCTAACATGATGTTAATTTTCCTCTCCATTTTTCGAGACAGAAAAAGGAATGCACGTGATGCTTGGTTTCCTCTCCTTTATTGTTTGGATCAGGGGCCTCTCTACAAAACAAGGGGCCTGGTTCTCCAAAAATATGGTTTTGCAAAGGAAACGATCCTACCTTGCAGTTATCAGTGCTGATGAAATCACACTGGCTTAGTAGTAATAGCAGTAGCAGTAATGTTAGATCCCCCCCCCATTTTTTGTGTTTCATCAGTTTTTTATTATAAAGCACATCTGCTTCATGAGTTTTAACATCTCCAAACACAATAGAAAGAAGGTAGCAAAAGAGCCTAGCTGGATGGCCACCCTCATTGCTAGTAACAAATTCAGCTACAATGTAATCATATTTTTTTGATTTTTTTTTTCTGTTTGCACATACTATGCTAGATGGTTATCATCACATGAAGAAATACCCGAACGAGATACAGCTAAGAGCTCAAGTTAAAAATAAACACAACTCTTAAAATTGCAGTTGTACGAAAGAAACCACTTCTATTTGGGAGGAGGAGGTGGTTAGTGGTGGCAGGTGAGGGGTAAAGATATTTCATAGGGAGGCTGGCTGGAGCAGTTGCTCAGTTTGTCAAAAGTGATGATAATACTTTGCATGTCAATAGTAGCACCTTTGATCAAAGGCTATTCTAGCATTTGGGAACCAGCTGGAGATAATTTTACACAAACGAAAGAGACTTCCTACCCTTTAAAGTCTTGTTAAGAAGTGAAGGGATCTCGAGCAGTGAGGTTTTTATTTAACACACTCAGAGCCTTGATTAGGGAAGCCTCATATCATCATCCCCTGTGAGGTGTGGAAACATTATTATTCCCATTGTACAGATGTACAAACTGAGGCAATGAGAAGTTTGATAACCTCCTCTCCCCTCCAATTGTCTCCATGGCAGAAATAGAAAGAAGACCCAGTGTCCTGCCAAACTCCACTAACCCATGCAAACACACACATACACACACACACACACACACACACAGAGAAACATATATACACATATATTTATATATATATATATATATATATATATACTCATACATTTCTTCTTTATATTTGCATGACCCTCAGTTCCCCATTAAGCCACCCCCACTTCTTAAAATGCAAACTGATGAACAAATGATTTTATGATGCTGTTTTATGAGATATGGCAAGTTCATCCCCACTTTAGAAGATTTTCAGCAATGGTGGCTTGTTTGCATAATTCCTGTTATAATTTTACGCTACATCCTTAATCCTCAATAGTTATTTGCTGAAGAAAGAATTCTTCATACTGTATCAGCAGATGCAACTACTGTGCAGCTGAGTGGGGAATACCTCACCTTGGATATCCAGCAGGACTGATGTTGTGGGGCCACTGAAGCCTGGAGCTGCTTTCAAACTGGCTGAGGAGTTTGGGTGGAAGTGCACTCCAGGTGCCCATGGGTCAGTGAATATTACTTTTAACCCAAGAGGCCCATCGCAGCCTGTTATTAACATTTGACAGCCAATCGAGTGCTTGATTAATCTCAGCCTTGGGCTCCAAGGGTCCTCAAATATTTGAAAGGCTGACACATAAGTAGCAAGCTCTGCTGTCTTGGTGGCTTACAAGTTGTGCAGAACTGACATATCTTTCTCCCAACTTATTTAACCATATCATGTCTGCAATGATGAGAACATAGGAAGAACTAGCTTGGAGCAGGCCAAAATTGTTGACTTTGTTGATTTGGGAAAGTACATACCTGACCGTGTTAAATGCTCTCATGGCCATTGGGTAAGTTTGATTCCATTAATGGAGTCTACCCACCCTTCTCACTTGTGGGTGTCCCACTTCCATTGCTCCTTATACTTTCCACTGCTAATAATAGTGGAGAATCTGTAATGGAGAGCTGTAATGTTATGATAAACGTTATGTTGTTTCAAGCTTACAGTGACATAGAAGCTGCAAATCTAGTACAGTATGTTGTCTAGGACTCCATGTGGCCTCTGATGAAATGGACAGGGTGCGGTTTAATATGCCATCTGTCACCCGTGGATTGGATCCACGTTTCACTTACCCCCTTTGGGGGGCAGGAGGGACCAGGACTGATTGGATCTAGGAGATGGTCAGTGCTTCCCTGAGGAAGGAGGGGGTACCTGCAGCCTTGAAAGAGGCTCTGGTAAGCCCCTTAATAGGATCTCTTTGGATCCAGCCAATTTTGATATTGCCCAGTGTCTAACTTTCCCTTTCCCTGTAGAGAGATTGGTGGTGAGGCAGCTACAAAGAAGAATGGATGATCTCAGTGCTTTAGAGATATGATTTGTCAACACATAAATCCAGCAAATTAATGAAAACTTTGCAATTTGTGTCTATCTGGAGCAATCCTTGCAACTTCCAAATGATTTCTGAAAGTTAGAATAATTTGTTTTGTAAACATGTACTGGAACATAAATTTGTTCCAAACTGAAGGTTTTTTGTGCTTCAGTCAATGGCTTGTGATTAGATTATCTTTTTTGCTTGCACTAAACAGCCTAATATGGTCAACTGATGCAGTTCTGAAGCTCACCCAATACGTTTTTATAAATTGCAAAGGAGCAAGATGGAATTGAAATCATATTGGGCAAAATTTACTAACTATAATGAACATTGGATATAATTAATTTAAAAAAATAGCTCATAGCTCAGTGACAATGATTTTACTTTTGAGTCAGGAAGAAATTGAGAAAAAAATATACTGGAAACAGAGTTGAAAAAATACTGCAGTAGGAAGTTATCTATGTTCTAGTTCCTTTTTGGCATAAAAATTCTTTTTGTTGTTTCAGTATCCAACATTTTGTTTTGTTTTTGCATCTGATTGGATGACAGCTATACAGGTGAGGCAGAAAAATAGAAAAACAAGCCCCTCCCATTTCAATACTCTTTGTTTTTATTTCTCTAGCAAGATATATTAAACAAATGCCAGCCGATAAATCATGCCTTACTGTCACTTTCTTCTCCTGCTCCCCCCATCTCAATAGTAGAATAATAAAGAAATATATTAAAATGTCCCTGGGGGCTTTGATTTTAAATACTTGGCCCAGCTGAGAGAACGCCATCCCCCCCCCCCCAAAAAAGCCATAGGGTGGAGTGGGAAATTCACCCTGCAATTCACATTTTTTTTGACAAGGTTCCTTGTTTCTCTAAAACCCTTTCTGGTTATTTCGGGTCTTTCTCTTATTCCTGCATGCCTTCTTTATTCTTAGCAATGTCTTGATATATGTATAAAAATATGCCTGCCAGAAATATAATTCAAGCATCTGTACATCATACAGGGGGAAAAATACAGTAACACACTGACTAAATCAACAAAATACACACCTATAACTCTATCACAACTATTATACACATTGTAAAAATCAACCTGCTCAAATACAACTTGACAGAACAGATCCATGGATTAATTGCCTGGAGGAGGAAACTAAACACTGGGGGATGTTTATAGCTGAGAGGTTGGCTCACGTGCCCCCATGATTAACAGTCAAGACTGGAGGGAGGTATTAGATGCCCTGCTGTAACCTATATGACCATTTCTTCTATACAAAAAGTATATGGAGAGACTATATACTTCAAGGAAGCAAGATGCTGCAAGGCTACGAACTTTGTATTTGGAGGAGTCATTTTTTTTTTTTTGAGAAGGGAAACAGCTGAATAAATTGTGTGTGAGAGGAGGAGGTGTGAAAAATGCCGGGAGGCGAGTCAAGAGGACAGAGGGAGATTTAAGTGGAGGACCTGGGAGGGAAGATGGGCAGAGGAAATGTCCATGGAAAGATAACAGGGAAGTGATGGGCGATAGTGTGGAGAAGCAGATATTGTTGGATTTTGTGAACTTTGATCTGTACTTGCAGCAAGATTGTGGAAAGTGGTTGGTCTGGAAACAACATAAGAACATAAGCAGCGACCTGCTGGATTGGGCCCTGGCCCATCTAGTCCAGTGGTTTGTTCTCACAACGGCCATCCAACTGCACAAGGAAGCCCACCAGTCTCCCAGCAGATGGCCTTCAGAGGCAGTCACACTGCCATCAAAATTAAGAACTGCTGATTCCCATGGCTTCCCTGATTTGGTCCAACCCTTTTTTGAATCCAGCCAAGCTGGCAGCCAGGAGCCACATCTTGTTGAAATTGAAGGAGTGGACAGCTTTAAACCAACTCCCAGCCTTTCAACCAAAATGAATGAATGAACTAGGATCTAGCCATTTTATATTAAACCAGCATCCATTCTTTTCCAAAATCACAATTTTGGAAATTCCAAGAATTCTGCTATCCACTGACTTCAGTATTCGGTGTAGGTCTCACCAAGTGGAACAGCCTCTGTATCCTCCTTTTACTACCATCCCTTCTACTATCATTGAAAAAAATGCTTGTTTTTCTTAGAATTTGATAGTGCTGCCAAAATAGTCTTGTTGTTTGCCCATAATGTGTAACTAATCCTGTCAGTCTTTGGTGTTTGTCAGAGCCTGTAAAAGGGTTACCTTGACTGTCCATCTGGGCATTCCTGTCCTGGGAAGAAATGGATCAGTATGAGCTAGCAATCTGCCCACTGGGTCCAATAAAGTTATTCAGAAAAAGCATGTCAAAAAGGAACATTGGTACCATCTAACAAATACTATGCTCACTTGCGTTTTCCTAGCTTTATCTATATCTCATCTCCCATTGCTTGTACAAGAGCAGAAGGCTTTAAAAATCATTATTTTTTTATCTAGGCTGCTGTCAGTGACAGTCACATATAGTATCTCAAGGCTTGGCGTCACCATCAGATAAGGAATGTGGTGAATTAAAAACACCCACCAGCCCATCTCCTCTCATTGGGGACCAGGTGGTATATTTGCTAAAATCATGTTTCAGGAGAAGCAAGTGAGGATTCTGTGATAAAGGTAGTGTCTGAGGAGAACGTAAACAAAGGAGGATCTAAGCCTTGAATCTCTCTGATTTTCCCATTAGAAGTTACTATTGCCTGGGCCTCCTGCAGAAAAACATGCATTCAGAATCTTTTCTTGCAGCAGAAGTAGCTGCTCTTGTGTGCAGAGATGGCTTAAGAAACAGCATAGGAAACAAAAAAATCCAACTACTACTATTATCATAGTAGCAAAAACAATGATAATCCTTGCTGCTTTTTAATGATACCCCGGATCTACCATTTGCAGCTGCTTGCCTTGGAGCAGGACCAACCATGGACATATTTTTAAGGCAGATTTCACAAATAAGTTTCAGTTGGGGTGTTTTTCAAATTCTAGAAAATATGAAGTAATAGTCTGATGGAGAAAAAGAATGAGAAGCCAAAACAGCCACCTTGGTTTTCTTGAACCAGCTAGCCTGTCTCTGTCTAGAGGTAAAGGACATGGTGCTAAAGCACAGGTGTGCAACTTCTGTTGGGTGGCACATTGAGAGTTGTATTCCAAAAGTGGGCAGGAATTGTATTATTTGAAGTTAATGCCTTGGGTATCTGCAAAGCTTAAGGTGCCCATTTTGCTCCTTAAGCCCCTTCACAATGCAAAAAAAAAAAAAAAAAAGTTTCCCAATCTGGGCTCTTGGAGCCACAAAAGAGATGTACATGGGGGTATATGGCCCTAGACTGCACTTTTTGCACCCTTACAATAATAATAAAGACAGGGAAGAGAATCTTGCCAGTTGAACCAATGTATCCTGAAGAAATTATTTAAGAAGTCTTATGATAGCTATCATCAAACATTTGAAGAACTGACTCATAAACAGGACAACTTTGTTTTCTGTTGTGCTAGAGAGGAAAATCTGAATCAGTGGTTTTAAACAACAAATCAGGAGATTTTAGATAACCATTAGAAACCTCCTAAGAATACAGACCATCAAACAAGTGAGCAGGCTGCTTTGGAAGATCATATACTTTCCTCCCATATAAGTTTTAAGAGAAACAGAGTGACCATTTATAAGGGATACTCTAATAGTAGAATTATTGCCCAAGCAGTTGACTGGACTATGATTTTGAGTTTCCTTCCAGGTGTATGACTGCAACCTGAAAGAGGGTTCCTAGCTGTATTTTGGAGCTATTCTATTTCTTTATGTTCTCAGTAGATGATAAGGAAAAACCTGGAAGAAGTGGAGGGAACATATGGAAAAGATATACATGGAAGACATAATCATCTGGACCTTCCATGGAATTCTATGAGTTAAGCACTGTGTGACACTGCACAATAAAAGCCTTGTCTGGAAGCATCTTGCCATTTTATAGAACACCTGGCAGTAATCTGGAAATGTCATTTCAGAATTGATTCATGCAATCTTGTCTATGACATATTGAAGCAGAAATGAATTGTCTTCCAAGTAGATTTTGTTATGTTTAATGGATGCTAAAAATGTTCAACAAGTGCCACCTTTGATCGCAAAACCGTTTTGCATGTATATCAAGGCATCCATTTTCCGCAGCAGCTTGAATCTTGATCACAGCAAATCAAGCATGTGAATATGCAGATAAAATCACAATGCTGCCTGGTCCCCACTGCACTCATCAGGAGCTGGGGTGTGTGTGTGTGTGATTGCAGTGTTGCACAGCACTGGATGTTTTATGATGAACAATTTAGACAATCCTTTTCTACAGGGCCTTCCTGATTTTGAGTGGAAAGTGGAGAAGCTGTCAAACGTGTACAAAGTAATTGTGGGCTGTGGCTAGGGTCACTTTTGTAAAATTATTACACATAGGATATGCTAAATTGTGAGAATGATAGTGTCACCTGCTGATTTTAATACATTCAAGTGTTGAGTGGATTAACCAGAAATTAGCTACAATGATTTATTTTCAGTGCTCCTCCATTCCTGCTATGACACCATAATCTTTTTATGTTGAGTAGATACCTAGAAAACTAAGGTTTTAAAAAAATTTCCTGATAAGGATATCAGAAGGAAAAAGTAAAGAGACAATAAGATGTTCTAGGATCTGGAGAAAAGAGAAATCAAGATCTAAGTTGAAGTAATTAATGGACAGCTAAGGCCTCTAATTAGAAAGCAGGGGGGTATTTTAGTATCAAATAAAGTCCTGAGATGTATTTAGAGGAAGTGTATGTTTCTCTGAAAAATCATACACTTGTGAGAGATGTAAGTTGTTAATGAAGTGTTCATTATCAGGCAATCATTCTATCTTACAATTAGTGGGACACTGACTGGCTAATTGTATTGCTGCACGCTTGTTCCAATGGAAGGACTCTGCCAACCTTGGAACCAAGATGGAGAAGAAAGGTGGTGCCAGTGCAGATTGAAATAGGTAGATTTCTTATGGCTGACTGGATGGAGCAATCATTTCTAGGGTAATCCATGACAACTTGTGAGGGATCAGTTTGATCAGCTTACCAGAGAAAATTCAGCAGTATTTAACATGTCTCTTCACTACTGCCAGGTCAAAGGAACAAATAAACATTAGTATCTCCCTAGCAAACTTTAGTTTGTGATATGTACTTCAAGCTTCCAGACCTGTGGGTCATAAAAAATAGCTTCCTTGCCTCTCACTGTTCTCTCTTCCCTCTGGCTCCAAGCCTGGAAATCAACTGCTTTCCTTTCTCACATGGCATAAATTCTTATGGATCCCTGCATGGCTGACAAGCCATTCCCTTAGAAAAACAATTTCTCTGGGGCTGAGGGAAAGAAAACACAAGTGACACATAAATGCTCTGCATACATAGTTACAACACACACACACATTCACTCACACTATTCTCTCTCTCTCTCTCTCACACACACACACACACACACACAATGCACCCAGAGGGCTATGGGAGCATCATGGCTCCTCTCTGCTTTGCTTAGAGGCCTGGCTAGGGTAAAGGTCTAGCCACCCTTATTATTTATATTATTACTCTTACAAGTTGTATTGAATTATAATGAAGCCACCTCACTGAAACAGAGCAAGTGATCTTGCCGTTTGCCCTCTCAAGTCTGTGCACCCACAGATAAGGGCTAGCTTTCTTATGGCAGGGCAGGGCAGGCTATCATCCTAATGGGCCTCTGGCTGGAAGAACGCATAGGCAGTCTTGTATGGCGGTAACAGACTCCTCTCCTCCCATTTCTTCAAGGTCCGTGCCCCACTGCAAACTCAAACAAACCAGGGCTGAAGAGGCCACTTTCACTTCTCTGGGCTTAAGCCCCTGGGGAGCTGCTCTCCTCTGTCCTTGCTCTTCCTCTTGCTTGTTCTTGCTAAGTACGGAGTCTGAAGGACAGGCTAAAGCAGGAGGTTGGGTGGTAACAATGCTCCTTATAGTAGTATGTGCTGCTGAACCAGCATAAGGGGCACTGACATCACTTTCCCATGCCCAGAGTTTTTTTTTTGAGTTCATATTTCAGGTTTCCTCCCTTAGCCTCTGTTCATCCCCAAGCTTTTCCCTCACGAGGAGACCTCGGTGCAGCCGCTGTGCATAAAGTCATGTCATGAGAGTGTAGCCAATAAATGTTGACTTGGTGCACTGAACCCCAGAGCGAGTCCTTGGCTTCTGCCTCTCAAGCCTTCAACTGATGCCACTGTGCCACTGCCTGGCGAGGGTGTGCAATCATATCCTTCCAGTGCTTTACTTCGCCTGGTCCACTCTTCCACGATAGGTAGATCTAATGGGGGCAGGGAAACAAATTAAACAGGACTGGTCAAAAGTCATAATATTCACTCTTATCCCCATCTCTTCATTGAGTTCCTGCTCTGTCCACCATCCTCCTCCCAAATTGGCCAGCCTCAGACACGTCTTAGTTCAAGCTGCTTGGATCATAGCTGTCTGCTATGAAATGGCTAGCCCTCAGTAATGAGACAGAAGTGGCTAAGTCTGTGATTTCCTTGCTTGGGCATAAAGCAAGCAGGAGGGACTAATTCTGACATGAAAGGGGGTGGCAGTTGGGAGAAGCTGACTTGCTTCTCCATGGCATGGCATGCCCTCCCAGGCTAAGGGCACTTTTAGATGAGTAGGCTTCTCATTGTTCAAGCTGTCTGATTTCACAATAACATTAAAACAGGGCTTCAGCAGGCTGTTCTGACTACTTGAGATGATTAGGATGTTACTGGGGTGGACATTTTACTTCCCAGCCAGTCTATACTATTCACAGGGAACTGGCAGCCAAAATTAGCTGCCTTCCTGATTTTGGGCACTCCTCATGATTTCTTGTGGCCCCTTTCTCCCTTCCTGCCACCCGGCTGGGATCAGTTGGCTTAAGTGTTGCAAGAACATCCTGTCTGGAATAGTCTGACTCATTTCTATCACTGAAAGTCAGGTAAGCCATGCTGGCTGGGGAATTCTGGGAGTTGAAGTCTACACATCTTAAAGTTGTCAAGGTTGAGAAACACTGTACTATAGGGAGGAAGGCAGGAAGAGCCTGGACATTAAAATTAGAGCTTCATGTCTCCAGTATTCCAGGGCTGGGTTAGGGCCAACTGCTGCCCAACATGGTGCTCCTCAACAGTAGCGAGACTCTCATGCCATGAGATGGAAACAGTTGTGGTATCCGACAACACCTTCAAACTAAGATTTTAAACTTTAGTCACTCACCATAACAAGGAAAACTTTTTTTTAACAATGCAGATTAAAGTCAAACATGCCAGTTAAGGACAATTACAAAAAAAATTGACTGAAGTCAAGTGCGGCAAGATACCTAGGGAAAAAACTTTATAGTGTCCTCCTTCCCTTGGTGCCCTAAACCCATGCTTATTTTGCTTAAAGGGCTCCTTTATTCCCAAGATGGGCAGGATGTCAGCCCTTCAAGCTAGGCCAGCCAGGTCAATAAACAAGACACTTCAGGGATTCTGGGGATGCTACTTTATTGTGGTTGGGTAGAATAACAGAATCTTGAAAGCTTGTCCAAGTTTCCCTCTACCCCATCTCATACTAAACAAAATCAAGACAGAGCTATTCTGAGTTTTTTTTCTCCCACTTCCTCCTGTTTCTGGACTGTACAATCATTTGTTCAACTTGCCCCTTAACATCTTGTTCCTCCCCCCACCCCCCACTGCCGCCCCAGTGGTTCCTTCATACTTTCCCCAAGGTCAGCTCTGCATTCCTTTACCCAGCTACACGATTAACAAACATGGCTGTTTCTATTGTCTTAAAATGGATCTTGTGTATAATGTGGAAATGTAAATATTAGCATGGTCAAGTCAAGGCTTATCTATAGTAAGAATTCCTTATGGAGTAGGAGAGTGTAGTCCTATGGCATGATGGTGGAAATACAGAAGAATGGAGCTGTGGGAAAATGGAGTTGTTTTTCCCAGAGCAGGACAATGCCTGAGAGGGCCCCAGACTAACTGGTGGATATTCCGTGCTCCTGAGAGTCCAAGAGGCTAGTAAGGCTGGTTTCTGACAAATCGGCATAAAGGAAGTTAAAGAATGAGGGAAACAGTCAAAGAAAGCCTGGATTCTTCTTTTCTTTTCCCTTGATAGGTTTGTTATTTCACACAAGCAATTTAAAGGGTAAGTTTTTTTTTTTTTTTTGTTTGCAAAATTGTGATTTGCCTTTTTAAGCAAAGATTATATTTCAACTGCTTGAAGACCTTTTGCTTGGTGTGTTTTACATATTAAACTGAATGTAGTCAGAAGTACCATTTGTTGATGCATGGGTGCAGTCAGGCTATGTAAACCTGGTTTAAGATTTGATCAGAGGATTATTTTGTTTGGATTTCTATATTTTATGATGGCATTTTTAACTAAAGCATTAGCTCATCTGGGTATATATAACAGACATAAGTTGGAAACATTCCCATAGAATCCAATACAGATTCTCCTTTGGCACATGATCAAAATGGCTGTCTTCATATACTCCTACATTTTAAAATATAGCAATGGGAATTACTTTTTTTCCCTTTTTTTAATTGTAAAACTTATTTATCATATTGTGGTAAAACATACATAATACATTATATTATTTTGATACAGTGGTATTTGTACAGTATTGATAAAAGATTATTAACACTTTAATGTTTAGATAGCTTAGACCATTGAAGATTTTAAAAAAGAGAGTATTATATCAGTATTAGTTATGATTTAAAATGTGAGTGTTAATGAGCATTAGATTATTTAGTTTTTTCATCCAGAACTGAATGTAACATTAAAAAACTGCTGCAGATTGCATCAAAGTATTTGTTATAAAATAAAGGTTTCTGTCTTAAGCTGATTACTTAGCATTAAAGTCTCCATTGTATTCTTACTGCACGTTGAAGGAAAAAAAGAAAAAGAAAAAAAAAGATGAACAAAGCAAAATCGACAATGATTAAAATACAAAGAGAAAAAAGAAAGAGAAAAAAGGCTATTTGGTTTTTAACTTCCCTCTTTTTCTGCTAACTTACAATATTTATAAACATTTGGGCCCCCTTAGAAGCCCGACTATAAGTGATTATATTTGCCATGCTGTGTGATGAATTGTATATATGGGGACCATTCTTGCTTAAGTTTGGTTAAACCTCTGTTGTGAACATATACTGTTAATTTTGCCATTGCTGCATATTCTCCAAGTTCAAGTTCCCAATCAGATATTGTCGGAATTGTATCTTTCTTCCAGTATTGAGCAAAATTTATTCTTGGTGCTATGAGCATGTATCTCATTAAATTGTGATGAGGTTGAGTCATGGCAACTGGACTTCTTCAAGGTTTCTTTTCTTTTTTAGGTTTCTTTTCTTTTCTTTTTTAACTTTTATAAACTTAAAAGAAGTCCAGTTGCCATGACTCAACCTCCAGACAATTACACCTGGATGACTGAGAATCTTCATAAACATTAAATTGTGATGTTTCTTATTGACTTTTTCTGGGATTATACCCAGTAAGAAGAATTGGGGTTTCATTTCAAATTGAATTCCACAATTTTCTTCATTGTACTATGTATATCTTTCTAGTACTTTGAGTTTGTTTACATGTCCACCACATGTGGTAAAATGTTCCTTCTGTTTCATGGCATTTCCAACATTTATTACTGTATAATTTCTCTGTCTTGGATATTATTGATGGGGGGAATAATATTTTCAAGAGCAGTTGAAAATGAAGATGGAGACAGAATGATGAATGTGAGTCATCCACTGGGCTCACATCTATAGGTATCCAAGGGCTGTTTCATACAGGTATTTTCCTGACAGTGTAGTTATTCTCTATGGTCCCTTGTAATCACTCAGCAGGAATTTCCACTATTACAGCTACAAATGTTTGGCATCTACCATGATCATGGAAATTGTATGAATGTATGAATGTATGGTTATGCATTATCTCCATCTACAGATTGTATTAAGAAAAGCATGGAGGAAAATGTCTTAATAAAGGGATTGATTTTCTAGTATGCAAGATATCAACAATTTCCACAAGAGTACTAGCTATTTTTCCAAAGCTTTTATGATGGTGGTGGTGGTGGGACTGTAAAGTTAATGTCATCTCTGTCACCAGTGACAGAGACATTAACTTTACAGTTCCTCCACCCCACACTATCATAAAAGCTCTGGAAAAATAACTAGTACTCTTGTGGAAATTGCTGAGAAAAGGGGTTTTTAGGCCTGCTACTTGATAGCATTACAAACAGGGGAACTAGAGACTAAATCTAAGTTCTCATGCATGCAAGGACATGGTCTACTTGGATGAGCTGGCAGCTAATATCCATAATTCATGCAGGCATGGAAAAAAGACTCACAGTCCTAAACTATTGCTGCTCCTTTTGCAGGGTGTGTGTGTGTGTGTGTGTGTGTGTGTGTGTGACTGTGACTGCAGGGGTAGGGCCTTTTCTTTGGTGACTTGCATTATTTGGAATTCCCTGCCTAGAGGGATCTACTAAGCCACATTGTTTTCTACTTAGTTTCTATCATTTGATGAAACATATAAGACATTTTTTGGCTATTAAGTTATTGGTTTTGTTGCCATTGTTTTTACTTCTACTTTTAGGGGCAAATGCCATTTTAGCCCTATTTACACACTGTGAAATGTAGGGGTGTCAATCTGAGATCAAGCATTTGTTCCATTTACCATTAAACTGTATTCATGCACAGATGCATGAATACCGTGCAAATCCCTCCTTTTAAAATAGCCCCCATGACCCACACAGGGGAAATATGCTAACATCTACAGTGTTTTGCCACTCTGTATATCTATGCTTTAGGCCAAAGCTATGATGGAGCCCTGATCATTCTGCAGTCCTGCTAATCCAATGGCTTGGCTGTTTTAGGCTTTCCTGGCTGTGGCACAAGGGCAGAGATGCAACAGCATTTTTTTTCCAAGCATGTTTCCTTGATCCTACCTTCTTTTTGTTTTCTTGATGACAATACCATCAGAAGGAGGATAAAAGAAAACAGCAAATGCTTATTTTCTAGATAGAAACATACAAGGTAGCTGGGAACTTAGGTATGGGGAAGAGTTTCCAGCAGCTGAGTAAATGATTCCTTGGTGCCCAGGATCATACATGCAAGTGGTGGTAGTGAGAGAATGGTGTGGCTTTGGGAAACCTTCTTCCACATGGCCAAACAAAGTAAATAAATTTGTACACTTTTCTGGGAAAGGAAAACTAAGTTACAGAAGACAAGATAAACACAAAACATGCATTGATTAGATGCAGTTGAACCATGTGTGATTGTATTTCCAGTTGCATGCTGTTTCAAACTG